ATTTTTTAAGTACTATAAAACAATACTGCCAGCTTAGAATTCTATACTAGGTGAATATTTCCTTCAAAAATGAAGGCAAAATAAAAGATGTTTCAGACCATCAAAATTGAGAAAATGCATCCCAGCAGACTGTGCTAAGGGAAATGCAGGTGCTAAAGTCAGAATAAAAGTAAACATAGCACAGAAACATGGAAATATGGAAAAGAACAAAGACAACAGAAAGGGTAAGTGTGAGTACATCTAAATTAATTTTGACTGCAAAACAAATAGTAGTTGTTATGCCCAGAATTTGTGATCCCCAAAGACCACTAGGGAGCCGAGTCCGATGCAAAAGCAAAAGAGCCTTTATTCGAGCTAGCTCGAGCTCAATCCCCTACCTGCACCGACGCAGCGGTGAGATACCGGGGAGAGAGAGCGAGTTTCAAAAGGACAAAGGTTTTATTGGGGCCTAGGGGCAGTTGGTGAGGTAATGGCTGTGGCCTCAGCCAATTGGCTGGGGAAGAGTCCTGTTAGGCAGGTGGGGGGGGGGGGGGGGGGGTTACTCAAGGGGAGGAGGTGTGGTCAAGGTGAAGGACACAGAACAAGATGGAGTTGGCCAGCATAGGCCCGCCCTTTCAGTAGTGTCATAAAATATGAAATACATACATATAAAATATATGTGAAATTATGCATGTTGGAAACTAGAAATGGAGTTAAAGTTTTCTAAGATTTTAAAGGAGGGTAAAGATTCTACTTTATAGAGGACTAATCAAGGATCATGTCATAATCTCATAACCACTAAAAGAATTGTTATGTGTAGGCAAAAAATTAATAGAGGATACAAATAGAAAATGTTTTAAATACAGTACTTGATTAATCCAAAAAAGGGAAGAAAAGTAAAGAAAATGAACATTGAACAAGTGGAACAAACAGAAGACAAATAGTAAATTTGTTCTTATGAACCCAGACTTAAATTCTGCAGTTGCAGTAAATTTTAAATGTTATTAATGTACTACTTAAAAATAAAGATTGTCAGGCCGATTGAAAAAACTACACTTACCCTGCTTGCAAGAGATACCTCAAATATAAGGACACAGAAATTATGAAGATAGAAGAGTGAATAAAGACATATTATACAAATACTATCCATATGAGAGCTAACTACACTAATATCAGACAAAATGAAGTTTAAGGCAATTTAAATAAGTGAGATATTTTATTTTAATGCTGTCAGTTATACACAGACACACACACACACAC